CAAGTGATTGTTTATCTTTGCATATACATATGTATAATAGATTAACACAAATAAAACATTATAATTTAATATTATGAATAACGCTATATGATATAAAATAATATAGTCCGGAAGTCGTGGGTTCCAGTCCCAATGTGAGTCAAAATCTATACATATCTATACATATAATAACATTCTGAGTCGAATCTGTACATTAAATATTTTTTGGAAAATCTTATTGAAATAGATATTATTATCGATACAGAGGCCGAGTCTATAGTTTTTAGAATTTTTGTCAATATGTCTGTCTGTCTGTCTGTTACCGCATCACGGAAAAACTACTGGAAGAATTTTCATGAAATTTTGTATGGTGATGGCTGGTTATCCGGGTCAACATATAGGGTACTTTTTACCGAGGGAAAATATCTCATTTCTAAGAAAAAATACAAAAACTGCACTGTAAGAGTATACTAATATGGAAAACCTAAGAATTTGGTTTTTGGTAATCTGAACGCGGGCGGAGCCGCAGGCAATGCTAGTGTATAGTAAAATTTTAACTAAGCCGAATCTGTACATTAAATATTTTTTGGAAAATCTTATTGAAATAAACATTATTAGCGATACCGAGGCCGCATCTATAGTTTTTAGAATTTTTGGCTGTCTGTCTGTTACCGCATCACTGAAAAACTACTGGAGGGATTTTGATGAAATTTGGTATGGTGATAGCTGGCTATCCGGGTCAACATATAGGATCCTTTTTACCTCGGAAAAAAGTCTCATTCCTGAGAAAAAATACAAGAACTGCAATTTAAGAGTATACTAATATATAAAACCTCAGAATTTGGTTTTTGGTCATCTGAACGCGAGCGGAGCCGCAGGCAATGCTAGTATAGTATATAACGAGGTTTTCTGTCTCAGTTACAGCCTAGAGTTTGGTAAGTGGCAGTATGATACCTCTGCACCACGTAGAACACGTAAAGCTACTACTGATAGATAGAAAAAAATCCAATTGTGGGTGCCACACACATTTTTACACAACAATATTTTCTGCGTAAATTGCAAGTCTCAAGGAGATAGATCGCCGTGGCCGAAATTGGTCAGAAGGACATTATTGATCACTGTTGCCAACTTACGTAGACCTACATACACTAACCGAGTAAAATATAAATCACAGTGTATTGAACTTAAGCGATCGGACTCTATTAAATTTTACCGATTATCACCTTTATGTTCCAGATACAGCTACGGTAAAAATAGCATTTAAATCAATCCACAGACCTATTTCAATTGAAAAATTCTCCAACATAAATAAAATAAAATTACTCAGTATTAAAGCTCGTCTTTGCGAATTTGAAAAGTGATAGAGCAGTTTCATGTCGATTTTAAAATGTCTGTAGGGTATTAAAAAAGCTTTAAAGAAGTGAAAATTACACAATTAGTTATTATATGGTAGGTACTTCTGGTTTTCTCAAAACGATAAACGCAGTGATTGTAAAATAATTTCCTCAAATTCATTAGTTTGCATTACAATAAAGTAGTTGTTGACCGACTTCAATAATAGAGAGGAATATTATTATTTTTTTATCCAATTCGAGAGCGTTTTTCATGCAGATTGATTATTGAAATTCATGATTTATTTTTTAAGAATACATTGTATAGGGTTGAAAAATCAGTTTGAAACACGCAAGATAAAATTGTTATTTATCGTCGGTGGTTGGAAATCATTTTTTTATTGACTGTTTCTCTGATTGTCTTCCTTTTATAGATATCTGTTGGTCAATGCAAGAGAAGCTTAGTGCAGAACAGTGCAGTGAAAAAATAAGTTACAAAAGGACATTCACTGACGAGTCACATATTAATTTTTAAACCTTTTTAAAAAAAATTATACATATGTATATAGCTATGGTTTTGACTTGAAATAATTGTTCCAGTCAGATAAACTCACAAAACCAAAAATAATATTGGCAGGACCAACCGACAAAATCAAAATTGGACTTTTTCCCCAGGAATCTAGAATATATGCGTATATCTTGTATGAACTTGCCACGGGTTATCCTTATACATACTTTGTTATCTTTCTCTTTTACGGCGCCCGATACAGATTAACAAAAGGTACGTATTCCCTAGATTTGATATTCAAATAATACTTAACTACTTACCTATTAAGACCGTTATTATTTAGACAATAGAAAACTACTAAATTCAATGTATAAAACAAAACTGATATTTTTTAATTTTTAATACAAATGTAAGCATTTTTCAAATTTATTTGTACGTATTTGTATTTTTATAATAAGTAAATTTTGTATACAGAGAAATAAAACAATAAATTAAGAAAAAAAGATATAATTTTGCTTTCATTACAATGGATCTGCGTTACGACAGGATTCATTTCTAGCTGGGTCTCACGTAGCAGAAATATGTAGTTAATAATATTGTATTGCAATATTGTAAACAAATATTATTTTAAAAGAGTAACTCGCCGGCTCTTTTCAGCAGAACTGTCTTTCAAGCCGGTGGTAAAAAAAAATTGCTGAAAGATTTTATTATTGTTATTTATAATACCAAATTAAATAAAACTTATCAAATTCATCTTAAGTGTTTCAAAGATTGTTGTTTTTTAAATTCAGCCTAGCCGTTCGTCTTTACAGAAGAGACATGAACTATAAGACGGGCTTATATATTATAGTCCGTATGTTCTTCCTGTAAAGGGTTGAATTTTTATTCCTCATATTTTCCTGATGCAAAAAACAAATTTACACCGTCTTTTTATAGTTATAATAACAATTTAATTATCTAGCTTAGTAAGTTATTTTTAAAACAAGTGCCAGCAACAGCAAGGAAAATAAAAAGGAAAAATTAAACGGTACTGGAATAGAATATATAAAACTCATTAATTACTTAAGTATAATATTTTGTTTTCTTTTTTATCATGCTCAGGATTGGAATTTCTAAATTAAATGGAACTACTTTTAAAGTAAATTTTATTCAATAGAAAGAGAATAATCATAATCGGTTCACAATAAACGAAGATATTAATTAACATAGAAAAAGATACAGCGCTGTGAATTCGTTTTAAGACGGTCCTTTCACAGTTCCTTTTCCAGTTTTCATCGTAAGGGTTATTGCTGATGCTATTTATTTTGCTACCTACACATTAATAATAATAGTTATAATATGGAAAAATGTAAGTAGAATTTAAGCAAGGAGTTTTAATCTCCATTCAATAATTAAGGTTTTGATACTTAAAATTTAGAAAATTGGCCAGTATCCAGTAGCCACTAAATGGTGAGCGAACGAAACGAAAAAAAAGTGAGGTGAGTAAACATAAGTAGATGTTTTTATAAAGTGTGTTTGTTTGTTTGTTTGTCTGTCCTTTTTCGCGTCGAAACAGAGTGACGGATTGGCGTGAATTTTTGTGTGGAGATAGTTGGAGGGCTGGAGAGTGACATAGGCTTTTTACCGCGGGAGATTATCTAATTCCCACGGGAATATTATTGGCATATTATTATTGGACATTATTGGTTAATGGCAAATTGACCTTTAATTATAACGGAATATTAACCTCCAGAATATTGTGACTAATTCTTGACGATCAAATCGATATCTGTCTGTGTTTAGTAGAAGTAGGTTATTAACATTAAGTTGTGAAAACATTTTGGAATTATTAATAACATAATTGTTACTAGAAGATTTTATTATTGTGAATCTTAAAACCTAATTAAATTAAATTTAAGAGAAACCCACTAGTGTTTAGTTATTGTTGCTAGCAACGTTTACAGAAATGTTACACAGAAAGCGAAACATCACACGGGAGATTGAAGGGCAAAACAGAAAATGCTGAAAAAAACCTTTTAATATTTTACATTATTATAAAGTAGAACAAGCGAAATGGAAATCGGAACGAATCAAGAACCTTTTAATTTTTTGTCGGTACATTAAAATGTAAAGTATTTTATAAACCAATGTTAATAATAATAATACATCAAGATGTATTATTAGAAATATAATAAATGCCAATGGAAAAAATGGCATGTAGTATGTACGCTGTTCAATTATTGAAGAAGATATTTGGCAATGATGCTATCGCATACGAAGGAATACTGATAATTTTTAGATGTTATCACACTGGTAGCTTACTGCGGTTTTATTATGTTCAGACTTTTTTTAAAGAAGAGTCCAATTACTTACTCTCTATTTTTAACTTTAGTGTACTTATGTAAAATCGAAAATTAACTATATAAATTATATATTTTATTACTCAAAATAATATATTTTTGATAAAATTATTATCATTATTCTTATCTGTACGTCTTGTGACCTTACGATTCTGCTGTCTGATAGGTATATAGTGAAATCACTCTGGTAAAATAGATTTGATGATCTACGGATTAATTGTGGGGAGCGGTTTCGTAACATTATTAAAAGTATCTTCTTCTTTATTTAACATCATTACGATATCTAGCTAGTACTTTTCTGATTTTAGATTTCTTCATTAATGCTACCAATTATTCTATTCATATACATGTTTACCATAAACTATAGACAAAACAATTCAACAAGTAGAAGACTATATTGTAGTGATTTCTAAAGTAAACATGAAAAAAATGAGTATAAAGCCATTTAAATCTAAAGGTTTGTCACACTTTTTCTTTAGTAATTTAAGAATATTTTATGCTATATGAGTATAGTACTAAATGAAATAGCGAAAAAGTTTTGCTTTTAGAACAAAAGTTACATTTTTTTATAAATGTAATGCTTACATTATTACAATAATTACTTATAATTTATTAATTAAAAATATTTTTATTAGGTTACATTCTAAATAAGTATGTTAAAATTAAACATTGTTGTAAAATTGTACTTATGTAACTAAATACTTTAATAATGATTTAGTAAAAGGGAAATTTCTCGAATGTTGTTGGAGAAAGAACAAAAGACTTACACGCTTGAAGCGGCAAAATCATTAAAGGCTTGTAGAGGCAAGTAAATACGTATACATTTAAGTGGTAAAGGCTTACCCTATAATTGGAGAGGTGATTGACAACACAGGTAAAGTGGACGTCCCGACCTTGCGTGACCGTGTGGTTTTCCAAAGCTTGCAAGAATTCAGGCACTACTTCTGCTTGGATCGGCATTTCACCTACAAACAAACAATTGAGAGTTAATTATGTACATATATATAAATATATATATAATATTTAGTTTCATATTATGTTATGTATATTTATTAATCTTTATCTTCATTATGTACAACTTTATTTAGTAACCTAAAATAAAATAAGATTAATTTTAGTTATAGTCTACAGTCCCCAACTATTTTTTTAATGATTAATAACAAGCAAAAACTGCACGAGTGGCTTCGATTTAACCAATTACCCAACTTTTCTTTCTACGTTTTACGTTCTAATTAATTTTTATAGAATTATTGTATTTTTTTTTCACGTGGATATCATAATAAATATTCCAAGAAGAACATACATACATGTTTTTTTTAAATGCATTTATTTATTTCTAAGGCTCCTTACATTTTCTGACGTTGTAAATAAAAACTTTAAATTTTCTATATTATATTTTATATGCACTGAGATATTTTGAGAATTTAAAGGCTAACTAAATAAATTCCACTAAGATACTAATGTGAATAAAAATATTTCCAGGAATCCAGTAGCTTAAAGCAAAGCTTGATTTATCCTTTTTGATTTCTATTAGCAATACAAAATCGAACGGCTAAAAGAGCCGTCGAAGCGTAATATCCACATCTGAAAGATTTTCTTATAAATTAATATTCAATTTTCAGCAAAGCCCGAGTCTTAACTTGTCGATGTCGAGAATTGTAGAATGATTAGCGGAATATTGAGCTCGAGTTCGCGAGTGGAACTCAGAAAATGTCTAAGATTTTGCGCCATTTGGTATTCAAAGGTCAATAAAACATTTGACTTTGGCAACAATTTATAGTCTATTGTTGATTTAATACTAATTATAAATCTCATACAATTTTAGGTATATTGTAATAATGTAATAAATAATAATAGTAAATTAAATTGAAGTATCTGTCTGTGAATACGATAGAAGTGCTTCAGTTCATAATGGATGTGAAAACCGGTATATAATAATATATTAATACGGTAAAACTGAACTATAAATACACAATATTTTGACGACACGTTTGGCTCAGTTTGTAGTGACCCTACTCGCTGTGTCAGCGGTCGCGGGTTCGAATCCCGCTTTCATTTGTGTGATGAACACGAATGTTTGTACTCCAGTCATGGGTGTTTAGGTATATTTATAATATGTATGTATTTAAAGTTATATATGTGTAGTGTATCAACTATCTGGTATCCATAACACAAGCCTCGTAGCTTACCATGGAACTAGATGATGCCGTGTGTTAATATCCCAACATATTTATTTATTTAAATTCTATATATTCGTACCTACATTTAAAAATTACTGAACATGTTGGGTAGGCTGTTCTAGTATGTACTTAAGGTTCAATCAGTTCAAAAATTTAATTATATAACTCTAGATAATCAGCTTAATTTTGTACTTAATAATAACATTTTTTATAAAGCAACATGAAATGAAACAAAAATATACATTAAAGTAAATATAGTAAAAGTAGATATACTCAAAGTACAGAGTAACAACTAGTCTTTAAAGAAAATTAATAATTAGGGTCGTTTGATAAATTATTCTTTTAACGTGGCCCATACAAAACTTAGTTTCTCGCGACTTACTGTAGTATGCACTCAAGATATTTTTTAGAGATTTATTTATTTATGCCTAAACGGTTTTTAATAAAAAATAATATTAAAAAAGTAAATCTATTCTGTCTGCCTGTTACCTTTTCACGCTTCAATCGCTGAACAGATAGATATCTGCGAAACTTGGCAAGGACATACATAGATTATATGATAGGGACAAACATTATTAAGCAACTTTTGTACATATCTGATAAAAAGCGTTAAAAGTTTACCTATCTTCCATATAATTGGTAAAACGTATTTTATACATTTTTTAGTAATTATAATATTTTATTATTTTATACTTATTTTATTTCACTAAAATCTATTTAAATATAAATAGACGAAAAGTAGTAGCAATATATGAATGCAAGATTAAAAAAGGAAACATTCGAAAAGTAACGTTTTATAAACTTCGTTATGATATATTTTTTTAAAATAGAATATGAATACTTTCTAACTTATTTCAGTTTTACCTGTGACAAAAACGCTCAAAAACGTAGTCAGCCAGCAGGCCGCCTTTGTCGACGGCGAAAGCATGTGTTTGTCGATGATCGTCTGAAAAAGAAAAATGTTTATGTCTTTATCTGTTTTATAAATAAACGACGAATATTTAATATATTTTGAAATAATATCATCAGAAGTGTACCGACATAATTTTACATAATATACATTAACAAATACTAACAACTCACCCTCGCTTCTCTCGGGTGCGTCCCTAGTGAAAAACAAAAAAAATATATCCCACGGGAATCGTACATTTTTCCGGAATAAAAAGTAACCTATGTATTATTCCAGACTATAATCTATTTCTGTACCAAATTTCATTCAGATCCGTTCAGCCGTTCGGTGTGATTGAGTAATAAGTATCCATCCAAACTTTCGCATTTATAATATTGGATTTTAATTGAAGAGATTGGAATTTGGATAAAATTCTGCACAGAGATACATTATAGTCTGGAATAACACACAGGCTACTTTTTATCCCGGAAAAATGTATGGTTCCCGTGGGATAGGTTTGTTTTTGTTTTCCTAGAGGTATTCTATTGACATGTTGTGATCTAGTAGCTTCCTAGATATTATTTCAATACAAACCGATATCGCCCTAGAATGATTCGAGAAGCCATAGAAATTAAAAAACATCCAAATTTCAATAGGGAAGATGGCTGGGTACTACCATCGTCATGGGATCCTGTTATTAATATAATAAAATCAAATAATAAATATAAACATAACAGACAGGCAGATGTAGTAAGTTCATACTGTGTAGATCAAAATGATAGCATTTCAGATTAATATTTTTCATTTTTCATTTGTAAAAGTATATAGTAATAGTGTTGTTTAGTAAATTGTCTTTTTAAATAATAGCAAACTAAATTAAAATTATTATACTTAATTAATTTTAACTTTTTAAATTACACATAGAACAATTATGTGGCTTAAATAATTAATATTACATTTTATATTTTTTCTTTATGGTTATAAATATATAATGGCAACACTAAATATAGATTACTAATTAATATTTTTAAAATTGTAATAATTATAATGATAACAGCAAAAATTAAATAAATAATATTCCATATTCAATTATAAAACTAATTAAAATTATTAAAATGTTTAAAGTTATAAAATATTGTAAGGTACTTGGTGCAATTTTTCATTTTGTTAATTGTGGGTAGGCTGTCTGTAACAACTATACCTTCGAGACATCTAACACCTCATTTTCTCCCGTGACCGTGATTGCTGTAAAGCATTCGAAACGTCGGGAACCAAAAATCAAAATAAATCCGCGAAATAATCCGAAGAGTTAGTTTTATTTAAAATATATATTCATATTGCTATACGAATGTATTTTATGGTAAGCTTAACTACATGCTATAACATTTAGCATTTGTTTTATTTCAATCGGTTCATAAATAAAAAAGTTATGCCAATTTAATAAAAACACACAAGAAACATTTATTGGAAAAAAGGTGTGTATACTTATTTACGCACGCAAGAAGTTATCCTTTTTTGTTTTTTTAAAGCATTTAAATAAAAGCTTGTTTTTTGAAATGTTTTAACTTTTTTTATGTTTTTTACTTTCTTTTCGTATTCTTCTCAGCAAAGTATTTGATATCCATATAGACCAGTGCTGAAGCCTTTGAAAATGATAAAAAGTGAAAAAAATATATATAGTAGGATGAATCCCATTGGAAAAGGAAGAGAATATAACAAAAATGAAAGGAAAAATAATTTATGGGCGATCTGAGGTCGGGAAGTGGGAAGAGGTGAGTTTTTAAGGGAAAAAAACAGTTTATCTCGATTTCCGTTAAACCCACAAGTCCTATGGAAAAAAGTTAAATAGCAAAATGGTAGTTTATAAAAAAATCTACACCTTTTGCATTTACACTTTTTTCACATAACCTTAATGCAAAAAGTATACGCCAGACCCTCCTAGCCCCTTCCCCACTTCTTTATGAAATATCTTTTGATGGGTTAAAATTTTCCGTAGGTCACTAAGGTATCTATGTTATCTTCAAATAGCAATAAATAGGCATCTACGTTGTAGATGTCTTATTACATATTAACTTTATTAATTGCATTTTCTGAGAAAATTTACCATACTAATGTAAATTTTTTTACATCATTAGAAACTAGAGATTTCAACGAACAAAAAGCCCACCGACTTTTTTTTAAAAGCAGATATTTCGATGCGAGAATTTTCGATTGAAAATTTGGGTGCTTTTTTGATATTAAGCCAAAATAAGGTGAAAAAATAAATATTTTAAATAAAAAAAAATACTGTATATTTGGGACATAAAAAGGTAAGTTTTTACCGAGTTTCGTAAATTATTATTTTTTTGTAAAAGATAAAAATAAAAAACCAAAAACTTGAATTTTTGACATAAATTTTGAGGTTATGTGAAAAAATTGTAAATATACAGTTGTAAATCTTTTTGTTACCTACAACATTGCGATTTAACTTTTTTCCGTAGGACTTGTAGTTTTGCCGGAAATCGAGATAAACCGTTTTTTACCCTTAAAAACTCACCCCCTCCAACTTCCCGACCTCAGATCGCCCGTTAATTATTTTTCTTTTCATTTTTGTTATATTCTCTTCCTTTTCCAATGGGTTTCATTCTACTATTATAATTTTTTTTGGTTTCAAAAATTATTGACCCTGATCTAATATCTTGGGGGTGCAAAATAAACAGTCCGCCATATTAAATTTTAAAGCCTTTGCATTTGGTACCCATATCCATGAACGAATTAGCCACAATTCGTTCATGCCCATATCATTTGGGTGGGTCACTATGAAAATAATAAATCGCCATTTTGTAACGTCCGTACTTCGTATTGGATTAAACATGATGGCATTTTGGAAATCGTGCAGTCGTGAGAGTCAAACGTGTGTTCCAAATTTCAGCTCAATCGGACAATTGGAAGTGGGTCAAATATAACATGTAAGATTTGATTACAGACAGACAATAAGAGAGGTGAAACTAAATAAAAGCTTGTAATATTTTTTATATTTATCGATATAAAACACGTGTGGTGTATATAGAAATAAAATAAAGAATAAAAAACTTCAGTTTGTAGCCAATAACGAGTAACTTCACACTGTAGTCAATAATCACTAAATTCATATTAATAAAATTAGGAATTTATAATTTTATCGAATTTATCGATATTTTATTAGTTTTTGAAGTTAATTTTTAATTTTTCTGAAAAAAAAAATGATTTTAAGGCAATTACAGAAAGAAATGAAATTCATTCGTAGTCTAACCTTGTTTATTCATTCGTTTAAAATATATTTAAAAAAATTAAGTTCATATATTTTATAAAATTTTGTCATAGGTTTGTTAAAAAATCGTAAATCATCATCATTCATGATCAGGTCATTTTATGAATTTCTATTCCTTATATACCTGCTAACATTTTAAAATCATAAAACTTCAGGTTTTCAATAAAAAAATTATTTTAAAAATAAAAGGATTCCGATTAGTCTATTAGTACATAAACAACAAAAAATTCTAAAACTTTCAACTTTTGGAACGAGGTTTTTGTAACTGATGTAAACCACCTATTTCTTTTTTTATGATTTTTTGAAGTCATCAATCTAAACAAGTCCAATTTTTAATGATATTCGCCACAAAATTGTGATTTAGAGTTATTTCAGTTTATGAATAAAGGTGCTATGTAACTTGTAGGGAATGTATATTGTACGCAAACCGTAGCTATTAGATAAACTTTGAAATTGCTCTTGCGCCGAGTCGCGCCGCCCCCGCCCCCGCCCCTCGCGAGCGCCCGCGCGTCACCGGCTGCTGCTATCATAGTGTGCATGAGAATTTGCGTATGTTGTATTTGTGTTATTCACTGCCGGGAGGAAGCAAAGCGGTATGAAACAGATAGCATTTTTTAAAATACCTACTCTCGCCGCGTATCGGCACTTCACAATCCTTAATGTAATGGCAATGGATAAAAATAGCTATTTTTATCGCATAAACAAAACAACGCTAGTATGTGTGTGATGCGGTCGACAAGAGTACTTAAATAACGAGATTGTTTGGTATAATTTTCATAATAATTTATTAATTATAAGCAAAATATACTCAATAAAAAAAAATATCAGCTAAAAATAATAACCGTAGTAGACAAGTAACACTGGTGGTTTTTCATGAAAAAAAATATATTTATCTTCGTTTCATCCCAAATGCTCATAATCAGTGTTAGGTTATTGTATGTTACGAGTACAAGTTGTATTGTAGCGTCTAGCGTTAGCTAATTTTTTTTTTTTTTTTTTTTTTTTTTTTTTTTTTTTTTTTTTTTTTTTTTTTTTTTTTTTTTTTTTAACGTTGGGAAATGCATTTACGCACGACGTGTGGGACTCACCGGCGTAATACAGCCAGTACTACCCACTAAAACCCAACAAAACCTTCCCCCGTCTTAATGGGGCGTCGCAGGATCGCTTACGCATTCAACTACGACGCCCCGACGGCAGGTCCGCCGAAGCAGACCACCACAACCATGGGGTTGCTCCACAGTCTACTCTGCTATCAGAGAAGTACCAGGAGTAACCCGATACTTATTACTAGATAGTCAGTATGGATAAATCTAAACAAATGTTACTTTCCCTCGTGTATATAATAAATTGACAATTTTGGTAAATCTAACTACTATATGACATTATACCGTGGAAATAGCAGTGTAATAGTAGATGAACGCAACTTCTATTGTTCGCTAATTTAAAAGAAAATCGTCTCCAATTGCACCTAGTGTATTCTTATAAAAAAGATTTTTTTTAATTTCTTTTTGACATATTCATATAAAAATTTTATATTTAAAACAATGAAATAATAAAAAATATTCATTAAAATTGTATAGAAATGAAAATTTATTAGCTAAAAGTGCTCGCTTAATTTGGCGTTACGCTTTGTTTTGCGCGTACTCATTTACGCCGCTTTTTATTTGATCACGGAAAGGTTAAGCAAACATCACTGCGGAAAATTAATTTTCGAGACTTCAACCGTTATTCTATATACTATTTGTGAACA